CAGGGACACTCATGGGCCCTAGTATGCATATTACACGTTTGAGGGTGATGGCTAACTCACATCGGCGAGTAGCATTATACTGTGGTTTTTAAGGCTATTTGAGGGGCCAACTCATGAGGTGGGAGGTCCTGTTGGTGGTCGGTATTGTTGGGTTGCGATTAGCTTTACAGTGTTGGGGCTACTAGAAGCGCAAATCTCTCTGAGTAGTAGTAAATATGTGCGACTTGTGGATTTGTCAGATCCTTTTGAAGGTAAAATATTTATATGGATTCTCGAGGACTAGGGTTTTTGCCCCCTTGGACGTGGTCTTAACTATTTTTCCCTTTAATATGGAGGTTATTGTCTGTCTATATTTCCGGAGTCAGCAATGACTTTCTCTTATTTGACTTCCTTGTTGGGGGGACCGTATGACCGACTCCTTTGAATTCCGCTAGGACGACCCATTTGTCAAACGAAGGCGCCCTAACCTAGAACTTTACCAAATATGATAGTACATATAGTAACATCGAGGATATGTATATTTTTAATTCAACGTACAATAACATTTTGCTGCGGAGTATCATAGTAACTAGATTGATGAATTATCCCCTTAGTTACTATGAGTGTACATAAATATTTGTTGAAATATTCAATGTTTTTATCAGACCTTTTAAGGCCAACCTTAATTTGATTTTTAATCATGTTAACAAAATCTCTGTATCTTTATTAAACTTATGATTTTTTCCCACTGTGACAAACTCAACACACTTGTGTATTATCACTTATAAATGTCATTAATCACATTTAGACATGATTTTATTTCTTTGAAGGATCCTAAACATCATTATGAATTAGATCTTTTAATTATATTTTTAATAATAAGCCTTTGAACTAAAAAACACACAATGATCTTTGGCTAAGTGGCAAGCTTCGCAGTAAATTGTGAAAAGTTTATTTCTTTGGAAAATTCAGGAAGCAAATGCTTAAGATAATGGCATCTAGGATGATTTAAACGTTTGTGCCATAACATAACTTGATTTGAAACAACACGTGAGCTTGTATTCTTGAAACTATAAATCATAATATTACTAAGAAAAGTTTCATCAAAGTAGTACAACCCATTTATCTCTTTAATAGTTCCAATCCTCTTTCATGGGTTTTGATTATGAAAAGCACATGTAAAAGAACGAAAAAATAACATAATAATTAGTGTCATTCGACAATGTAAGAGCATATAGAATATTACAAATGAATTCAAGAACATGTAAAACAAGCCGCTAAGTGATTTTCTCTACAAAATTTATGATTCCTTTTCATGCATTACTATAATAACTATCATAAATAATGTTGAACTTTTTAGAACTTTTACTATGAAACAAAAGCTAAATAGAAGAGTGATATTAGTCATGCATTTAAATTCCCCTGGATCTACTATCCAAAGGTTAAAGTGGTTTTAGACAGGTAGTACTGAAGAATCCTGACCTATTTGTGCCTTAGTCCCAACACAAATTTTAAGGAATGAATTGAACTTTATAAGCTTAAGAAGGTGATTCACAGTTCCAACATGTAGTTTGAAGCATGTTTCCCGAGTGTGACGATTGCAACCACAATAGTCACAAAATAAATGAGTCTTGTTTCCACCTTATTGATTAGGACAAATTTTCATTTGCATGGAGAATGACTAAGGTATATCTTTTTTTTTTCTTCCAAATATCACTTGTCGATGATTCTCTTCGCGACATTTGCCGAATGGTTTGGTCTAAAAGTTTGTAGGTTTATATAAACAAACTAATCATTAAAGAAAATTCCGCCTCTGTGTTCGCACATAATTTTTGGAGAATAACCTCCAGCCTATAATTAAAGTTTATGTGCAAGATCGACTAAAAGAATCCTATACTATGTGTTAAATGTATGCTGACGTTTGAGTTTGTAAGTTTGAAAAGGTAGACGAACAAATGTGTTGGCAAATTTGAATTAAATTGATGAAGGTAAAAGTATAATAGAACGGTAAAAAAGCGGAAAAAACATGCAAAAGAAATACAAAACTTATAAAATAAAACTGCTCAAGTATAAAAATGGATGCATGCATACATTTTGCAGAGTTTTGACTCGTTTCTGTCACACTGGTACTTTGAGTGTATTCTTCTAATGCAACAAAATGTGACCTTTAAAACTGAAAACAACACTTCCTTAAATAGGCAAAAAAGTGACTGTTATTCTTCCGTTCACCGTCCCTGCGCTGCCACGTGTCCACCCGCGTACGTCCACTACCTTGGTAACTTCCCACGTTTTCGTCTGCTGCAAGCTTATTTGTTCGCTTGAAACTTTTGGTATTCCTTCAACTTTGACTAAGATGTCTATCTGTCGAGTCTGCTTCAATGTTCTCTCGACGGGTTAGCTGTCGAGGATGTTTCGACATGGTATTGCAAGGTTTCTAGTCGACCCTACTTCTGCTTCCTTGGTCGAAATTTGCCAGCCAACACTCTGAGAAATACATCACAGTCAGTGCATATATTATTCTTTATCAATATGAAGTTGACAAATCTAGACATGAGCATGCATGGTTGTTGTTGAAAGAAGGACCTAAATGGAAGGCATATCTAATGAAGAAACCCATAAAAATGATTTATTTTTTGAGGCATATTCATAATCTTTTCATCCATAAATGTCAATAAATATTTTAAACTATGATCAAACATCACAAATGATTTTTCTAATGAGAGCAAAGGGAATCAAAAAGGGAAGTAGGAGGAAAAGTAGTCGAGTTTCATACCATTTACAAAAAATATCCATTATAGTAAATTTATCCTTCATGAGAATTTTATGCCATTAGTAATAATAAAAATTAGTAGTTATATACAAACTAGTCGTCATACTATATTTATATATAAAAACATATGAAATTCTTCAATATCTTCACACTCTCTTGTATTTTTTATCAAGTTGTGCAATTATGTCTCATTATCTCATATCATTCCTATAATAGATCTAATAGTAAAATATTGAATGCATACTACATATAAGGGAGACACGAGGTCTTTCAAATGTTATGTTTAATTGACTGTATGCATTATAAATAGAAAATTTGTCCAATCTCATAGAAATGACAAATTAGTCATAATGATAATGCCAAACTCACGATAATACTCAAAGCATTGTAACCACAAAATGTTGGAGGAGTTTATCGCTAGGGAGCATTAAACATTGGGTCAAGAGCAACACAAGTGAGAGAGACACCACATATTCACCCAAAACTTTAACATGATAGGTGTGTGGGTTCTCCCACTTATAAATGCTTAACTTTTCACATTTATAACCAATGTGAGACTCTAACTCACACTTGACATATTATTCTCAAAACTCCCCCTCAAGTGTGAGTTCACAATGCTCTCCCCTCATGTGGAAACTCTTTTGTTCACATATATTTGTACCGACGTTGACACCTCTTTCTTGGGCATTTGGATGCACCTCTTCTCGAGCATTTCAATTTCAATGGGACACCATTTCCTGGGTATTTCGATACATGTAAGCCGATCCCTTTACTCGAACCAAAGGCTCATGATACCATTTGTTGGGTCATGAGGAGAAGCATCAACATTTAGCAGATTACACTTCATTCTAGGGACATATAGTACATCTCTGATCAAGGCTTTTACTCCATTACTCATTTGAATAACTATGTTGTCAGTATCTTCTACTGACAACGAGCTATTATCAGGAAGTTTCACCTTACTCTTCTTCGACTCGTCGAAATCTACTATCCATGTTTTTTTTACCAGTTACTAGCAAGTCATCGACATACAAGCAGCTTATTGTTATATCTCATGGATACACCATACATTTTTAGTAGTAAGTTCAAACAAAGTCATCAATGTGTCAAACACATCCAACGTGTTTAACAATACTTTGGATGAAGAACCGTTCACAATTAAATACACTGTGAATATGACCACTTATATTACAATGTATTATTTAACAATTATAAATGTGATTTCAATGTCGATAGGGAGAAATGGAAAGCTATTTGCCCAACAACAAAAAATAGTCAGAAATGATGTAAAACGAGCCTTTGAAACAATAAAAACCCAATTCTTGATTGTCTGTAATCCAACACATGCTTAGCACACACATATGAAAAACCTCATACATATTACATTGATTTTAATTACGATCACATGAATAGTTATGTCTTAACAAATAAGGTGTTGAATGAATCTCTACTTAGTTTTACAATATATATCAAACAGTTAAATTAATATTAACTCCAAACAAATAGAGTGCATTTTAATCGTTGAAAGACAAAAGAATAATTATGTGGTGTGGGATATTTTGAAAATAATATTGCATAATTTGAATCAAACTCACCACATAAAAAAATCCCATAGAAACAAAATAATATATAAAATTACATTTTTATTTATTTATAAAATTCTAAATATTTGAAAATTTGGGTTTTAACTCAAGAACATTTTCGGGCCCAATTAACCCAAAAGAACAAAAAACCCACGTCCACAAAAACAAAAATGAACAAATACTCATCATGAAAATTACCAAACCAACCCTACAACCCTCAAAATATCTCTTCATCAGATTCGCGTGGCACGTTGGTCATATTCCCAGGGCAAAAACGTAAAACCCCCTCCACCCAAAAGGCTAATACTGTCATCCAACTAAACCAACAACACGTATCAAACACATTAAAATCACAAGCAAATTCACAATCTTTCAAAACACACACACAAAGGAAACACAAACAATTCAAATAGCCAATCATATCCATTCACACGGATCGCTGACGTGGCAAAATATAAACGAAATCCCGCGTAAACCCTAAACTTCAATTTTTTCCCTTTTCAGTTTTTATTAGCGTTTTCTCTCCTATGCCCTTCGCTTCCAACCCTTCTTATCCCCTTCTCCTCGCTCCAGAAACCTCACAACAACACTTCGCAACACGTTCCGAACTCGTTGTTCTGACTCGCTCCGAATCCCAACTCGCTTCGTTCCGTTTCTAGTTGATCGCCATGCCGAAAGCCAAATCCGACTCCAAAGCCGTTGATAGCAGGTAAATTTTTTCAATTCGTTCGGTTATTCGCTTCTGTTATGCAGTTTTTGATTTCGAGTTCTAGATCTGAAAAGTTCGATCTAATTTTTGGTTTGTAGGTTGAAACGCAAAGGCGCTGGAACTGGAAGGAAGCAGTCGAAGAAAGCTGCTAAGGATCCGAACAAGCCTAAGAGGCCTCCCAGTGCCTTCTTCGTTTTCATGTATAAAATTTTCCGCTCTAATTATGGTTTCGCCGTAATTTACTAGTTTTTTTTAATGGTTTTTGGTTTATGATTATGATTCAGGGGTGATTTTAGAGAACAGTATAAGAAGGATCATCCAAACAACAAATCTGTTGCTGCTGTGAGTAATCTATCTTCGGTTTTGGTATTTTTTTTAATTTGTTTTTTTTCCTGCTTATGTTGAAAACCTAAATTCTAACTTACGTGTAAAATCAATTAGGTTGGGAAAGCCTGTGGTGAAGAATGGAAATCTTTGACTGAAGAGGTGAATATTTTTTATTAAATTATAATAATTAATCTTATGATTTAGTTTATTTGGAACATTTTTTGTTAGATTGAATAGATTTAATTATTAATAATTAATCATATGTTTCAGGAGAAGGCTCCCTATGTTGCTAGGGCTTTGAAGAAGAAAGAAGAGTATGAGATAACTCTTCAGGCATATAATAAGAAACTGGTGAATACTCATGTTCTTGCTTTTTGTTTAGTTTATTGTACTTTATTGGTGTTAATTGTTTTGTTTCTAGTGATTACATGAATTTTGTTTTTTGATTTGTTAGGAGGGGAAAGATGATGAAGAAGGTTCTGACAAGTCAAAATCTGAAGTCAATGATGAGGAAGAAGATGAGGTAGATTCATCATATCATTCATTTTGTCTTATTTTAATGATTACGTACTTGTGATGAATAAATGGTTTTTTACATTATTTTTTAAATGCTGTAGGAGGATGAGGAGGATGATGACGACGAGTAGAGTTCCATTTACACAACAAAATGAGGAAGAATGTTCTGACAGGATTAGGAAAGTTGGGGAAACATTTGTTATGTTTAGATTGGCTTATGATATGTTTGGTGGGAAGTTTCACCAATGTACTACTGTTATTTTAAGATAGTTTATGGATTTTTATTGTCTTTTCTAGAGGTTTAGATAGTGAACAATCCTAATTACCTATTGGTATCATTATCCTGTACTTAAAGTCAACGCTATGATACTTTTCAATTCTGTTCTGTCTCTTCCAATTGTTTACTTTGATTGTTGTCTTAAAATCTGTTTTAACTTTGAAACAACAGCTCTTCCATAGGTTTCAAGCAACATATTGGCAAAACATAAAATATTAAACAATTGGATTCAACCCTAAGTTAAGCCATTAAATTCGATCTTATTTGCATCAATGAGATGAAAAAAATAAGAGAGATTTGATGCCTTGAGGAAAAGTATAGAGAGCGAGGGATCTCAGAGAATATGTCAAAAAGGAAGGTGAAGGGGAAATTTGGGCAAAAGTAATTGTAATTAAAGATACGATACGAGTGTGATTGATTGTGTTTGAAGTGAAATGGAACAAACGAGTGTTAAATTTTAAAATCTAATAGATGCCCTAATGATTTTATTCTTCTCCATTCAACCTTTATCACTTCTTCAAATATATTTTAAGAAATTAATAAATTGTCATAGTATATAGTGTGCGAAGATGATTAATCAAATTTTAATTTATTCTAAAACAAGAACTCCCAACTTGATTCCACTTTGATAAATGTGTGATTATTATCATAATTTCCAAGATTGGGATCTTGTATAAGATCGGTTGAGAGGGGATAGAAAAGTTTTGAAAGATCATAAAACGTAAGATTGTAGTTAAGATCAATAGATTTTATCGGGAATAGAATATAATAAGACATAAGATTCTAATTAAGATTAGAAGATTTTACCCAAATATATTTGTACGACAGAAAGAGAGTAACAAGATGATAAAACATACAATTTTATAAAAAATCATAAGATATTATGAAAACGAACAATAATACTATGTATTCAATTTTTTTTTACATGATTTATTGTTAGGCAAATGTATTTGTGGAAAAATGACTACCGCTTTGCATATTGTCATCATTCTTGAATTGTAATGAGGTGATTAGAAAACAATTCTAATTGGCTAAGATGGCACATAATCAATAATTTTTTATTTTTTCACAAATTTTGACCACAACACAAAATTCTATTTAAGATTGGAATGGTTGGAGGTGAGGGGAATCACAAAATCGTAAGAATTTAATATTTAAATTGTGATTTTGACAACCTTCATTATTATACTCAACAACTTGTCAAATGTTTGAGTTTTCCTTTGATTTCTTTTAAGGTCAAGAATTCTGAATTTAATTACTTGACAAAATTAATTCTAAATTGACTAAATGTAAAGGTAAGTTTAACAGCACCCCAGTAGTTATTGCAGCTTTGGTATCAAATAGGTACATCCATTGGGGGTTCTGTGATAAATATCTCAGGGAATCACATTCTTCAAGTCTATATCTAGCAGGGTGCTTATTGTGTGGAACACGATTGTTGAAACTGTTCATATCCTTCAACAAAGTTTTATCTTCCGTGCAGGTAAAAATACATAAAAAACTGAAACACTTTTTTTGGACCGTCTACCATGAGTCTTTTCCCACCAATGCATCATCCCATTTAAGATTTCTCGTCAGTCCTAGATTACCAAAGAATGTTTTTAAGGTTTATGTTGACTTTTTCAAGATCAAATGGTGTTGCTTTCTAATATTGTGACAAGTTAACGGCCATAATTAGGCTTTTTATTTGTGTGATCTCCACTATTGTTTGCATCTGTTATGCAGAATTATAGCAATCTGATTTATGTTGGACATGCAAAAAGATAATGAAGAAACTGATCTTATTCAACAAATGCCTGTCATGTCTATCAAAAACCAACACTGCAGGAAACGTTCCAGTGTTTAACATAAACTTTCACAAATAAAAAAATGTGTATAGAAAAAAAAAAAAACAGAACCACCTTAAATACATAATATGAACAAAAAATTCACATTTAGAAAATAAAATAAAACTATAGTAATAATGAATAAATAAAAGTTGTTATGAACTTCTTTTGTCTTGTTGCTGTTCAACACTTCGCAATACTTGGTTTGCCATTGATGAAAATGATTTTGCTGTATCTTGCATTTCTGTAGTTCGAAGGTTGATACCCTGCCAAATCAGAAAATGTATATATATAAGTAACAAACAAATTAGATACAGACATAATTTGTACATACTTGTTTATGCTATAACAAAATATTGACTGTTTTAAACTGTTTTATCAAAAATAAGTAAAAACAAGATACCTGTAATTTTTTCAAGTTCTCCTGCAGCTTACTTTCTGCCAATTTAGCAACGGTTGTTTCCTGCAGCGCCACCAGATTCATGATTGAAACATGTTTCCAACACATTTAATAATTAGATATTAAAATCTTCAATAAATGCAACATTACATTGCAAGAAAGGCTAATGGAAAACAGGAAGCACCACAATTGTTGTATAATGGCAAGCAATTCAAGCATAATTGAGGTTTCATATTCTGTCTATATACTTACATTGGAGGAAGAAGAAAATCCGTATCTCTTTTTAATTTGATCGACTGTACCAGGTTGCTGCTCTTCTTGTCGCTCTTCCTTACCTGATGTTTTTTGGGTGTTTCCCTTTATCTCTTTCAACCTTCCTGCATATTGAATGCTTAACTGATGAGTTTAATGGCGACACACCACCGGTGTAATGTCCAACGAAAATTTATCCAATCGCCATATTACATTGACGGCACATGTTATATTTTCTATATTAGTAAACTCATTATTACCAACCTTTTAGAGCCTGAAATTTTCCAGTCAGTTTCTTCTTATTAAGACCTCCAATTCCCAATATGCCACGATCTTTGCGTTTTTCTACATGATCATCTAGGTCAATATCATCTGTAGAAGAGGAAGGAACACATCTAAAATTGATTAGCTCATACTTCATCATCCATTTGATCGAAATAATTAAATTTTGATATTGGTATCTGTCTGTGTAAACAAGTTTTGGTGTCAGCCAATCATGACCATTATGCAAGACTTTAAAACTAATTATAATTAAAGTCAAACGATTTTTTACGATCTTACAATTATAATTGATTAACAGTGTGAAAGCAACGTATATGAATTAGATTCTATAGAAAAGGGAATATACAATGCCTACTAAGATATGAAAAATTAGGATAATTGCTTGAAGCAGTCATGTTTCATAACATTTTGCTTGTGACTAGAGTATTTATAAGGTTCTTTCTTACCTATGTTTAGCTCGACCTCGTCTTCGTCAATAGCCAGGTTATCATTATTATCAACAAGGGAAGGAAAATTTTCTTTTGAAAAGATCACCGAGAGTTCCTGGATACTTTCTCTAGAATTTACTGTTTCCATGGGGGGTGCAGGCTTTTCTTTATTGCCAGAGAAAGAGCTGAAGATACCCTGGGAAACCAAAAAACAAGATTGAACCCCTTTTTGTCACAAAAATGATGGATATCATACAGTTTACCAGGTTAATAAAACTACTGCATAGTGCATACCCTTTTCTTTTCCTTTTGAATGACTGGGCCAGGGAAAAGCTCTTCTTGTGACAGCATCATTTCTTTCTTGTAGATGCAGCTAACAGAATCCAAAACTCTAAAATGAAGTCAAGTAAAATGTAAAAGTGAGGCTACTAGTCCTGAATGCTGCTACCACTTTTATAGCCATATATTTTATATTGTTAATCTATAGTCATATATATCACCAAGTCTAGTGCAAGTGCTTGATGCACAATGTGTGTGAGGTTGTAAACCTTGGAGTACCAAGTTCGATTCCTACTGATAAAAGATATTGTTATTGTATACCTGAAAATATTTCTTTGGACCAACAATGAGACAGCAAAAATTTCTTGGTCTCCATTCACCTGTAAATGGTAGTTGGGCTAATTCAAAATCAAACATCTAAAGAAATTTGGTGTACTAGAAAAAACCATGTTCATACCAAGACAAGGTCTCCTTTGGATGAACAACATATTTGCCAATCCGAAAATGACTTTGATTTCGGAGGTGAATAATTGAAACCTCTAATTGAAGTCTCCACAATCAGGGATAACTCTGGCAAAGACCTATCATTTAAAATAATAAATTTCTACGCATTAAATCGCTAAGACGAATACATTCACATGAAAGTACTTGGCACTTAGTTACCTAAGTAGAAATAAGTGAATTTCTGATTTTTTATCATCTAGCAAAACACATTTCTGTCAAACACTTACCAAATAAGTCCTCATTATATGAGAGCTAATCTATAAGTTGTTTCTATAATTAATAAAAGAAAGAGAACAGAGTCCACATAAGCTTAGCACAAGTTGTTTCTATAAGCTATTTTTGAGGGTTTATGAAAATGAGCTGAATCTAGAAGCTACTTCAAACTCATACACTTAAATAAGTGCTTAAATGATAAAATAAGCCCAAATAAACTATTCCAAAATTCTCTTTTATATGAAATGCATTTTGCATATTTACTTGCAAAGCACACTGCCATTATGCCTTGCCAACAAATAGTACGAAATTAACTTAACATGTCTAACAAGGTAAATTTTTTCTACTTTGATAAATCTTCTTCTTTTATGTAAATCATGTTTACTCATATGCCACGGCCATCAAAATATGTTTTCATGGAATGCACGGAGTAAGAAAAAAGTACCACCTTAATTCTACTCTTCCGTTGGTGAAAAGGAGTACAAGGCCAATACCGGAGGGACAGTAAAATGTTGATGCCCAACAACAGGAAGAGGAATGAAACTTCTTTTTGTGAAGCACCTTTTTAACTCCCTAAAAATATAAGAAAAAAAATCCATTGCAGCCATAAGCTAATGTTCTTGTTCTTCAGGACTCCTGATTACGACTTAAAAATAAATCATGCATTACCTGAACAGCATGCATTAATGAATACACATATAAAGCTTTTTCTGAACAAAGCAGAAAGCACAATTGCTTTGTTGGTGCATTTTCGATATGATTCCCTTCACTCAAGTCTAATCCATCCTTTGTAACTGATCCTGTTAATACTTCACCTTGTCCATCTGTGTACCAAGATAGAATTACTTTTACTCTTTTCAATCATCTCTTTTACATTTATCGAGACTGTGTTGAAATACTAGTCCATAACAGAGCACACATACCGATTATTATTAATAAGTTTTTAAAAATTATTCATAATGTTAAACTTTGCAAGCCCTTACCAAACACCTGCATAAATAGAGCTTTGGAGGGCTTCTTAGGATGAACAGTTTCCGTGCTTGTCATGTTACCAGTTTCATTATCAAGTGCTAGAACAGAAGAATCTTTTGTTCCAACTGCTAAAATGTTTTTGTCAAAACCATGCAAACTGCATGTTAGGAATTGCAGGGAGATGATACCAGCAGAAATTTCACTTGCTATATGTTTCTGATATAACAGAGTTAGGCCATCCATCTTAAAAACCGAAACCTGCAACAAATTGGATTAACATACATTAGTGCACAAACTACTCATCAGGGTAGTGGCAACAGACATTTTTAACCTCAAATCACAAGGAACAAAAATTCTCGTGGCGCATAAGTAGCTGACATCTATTCATTTGGAGCTCAAATTCATTTCTTAGAAAACATGAAATAGAGTTGGATTTTTCTATATGAAGAAAACACTAGAAAATAATCTTACATGTCCTTGATGAGAACCAACAGCAAGACGTGTGGAGCTATGATCTATGTTCACAGAAGTTATGGCACCATTAATCTTTACCGTTTTCACACTTTGGATGACATGATCAGTCCCTTTCTTTGTACCACCTTCAAAAATAGGAATGAAGATGGAAGTAAGCATTAATTCATATATGAACTGTATGTTATCTTTTTGATAATTAAGCAAAAGTCATATGCTATGTGAGACATACTAAAGATGTTGGTAGCATATGGTTCAGGTTTGAATCTAAAGATGCGAACCTGCAAATCATGTTTATGTTATGTATACATACCATACATAAAGAGAAGACAGGGAAATTGTCAGATTTTATGGAATACATAATTGAAGGAACCTCACCGTTCCACTTTCGTCCCCAGAAACAAGAAGAGGAGAGTTGATATCAAAGAACAGTGTTGTCAAGGGTATACCGCTTAATGAAAAGTCATTTTCAGTCTGCATCATTAAGTTGTTGGAAACAAATAAGAAAATAATTACATGAAGAGAGTAATACTAACTAAATTTTTCTAAGTACATGGAAAAGAAAATAACTGTCTTTATTCTTTAACTCAACGGCAGCTTGTTTGAGCTTAAAACTTAATGATGACTAAGACTAGACCTAATATAGCTTAAAACTAATAGATTCTTTTAACTGAATGTAGAGAACTTGAGAGCACGGGACAATATTACCTGTTGTTTTAATTGCAAAATTAGGGTGAAAAGGGGGCATGAAGCATCCCAGAAGTTTACAGCTCCATTGCTGTGTCCAGTTATATACAAGTTTTGAACTTTTGAAAATCCAGAAAATTTAGCAGAACTTGGACTAATCCCGTCTTTTTGATTCATTTCAACAGGAACAAAAAGGGGATGATTTTTCACCAGCTGCCTGTAGTACTATTGACCAAAAGAAAGAAAATTCTAAATCAAAGCATTTAAATAGAATAAGTAGATTACAAATGGAATGAACAAAGTGGAGTGAAATTATAGTTTCATAACCCTATTACCTCATCTTCAGAATAAAACACATTGGAATTGTTCGAGATGAATTTTGCCGCTGTGATGCTTGAACTTGCCAGAGGTAACTTTGCAATCACGCCCTTAGGAAGTGAAGGTGTGGACTTAGATTGTAGCAGATACCTTTCAATAAAAGTATCATCATATAGATATACATGGCCTGACTTCCCGAGCAAAAGGAAAGAGTCTTGCTTATGCTTGTCTTGCTCAGTTGAAGTTGATATGATCTCCATGTCAACACAACATTCAGACAAAGGAAGTCCTAACTTAGTCGTGCGAGATTCCGTATGTTCACTCAACAACACTACCTGGTTCACATAATAAAAAAAAGAGAGCATGATCTAGATGTAATCATGATCTTAAGTATATATACCTAGAAGACACAGAAAACACAATGCAAATTCTTTTGCACATCCACTAATATTATTATAAATGTAGATATTGTTACATGCAAGGTTGTCAAACTCGCGAGTCTACTCAAACTCGTAAAGGGTCCGTAGACTCGACTCGCAGACTCGTACGAGTCTATGGAAAATTAAAAATGACTTTCAAAAACTTATAAGTGACACATATGGCACACTCCTATGCTTTTATACTTATAAATTCATCTTTCATGACATAAATATATAATACAACACGAATTATCATGAAAATTTAAATTTCATATTCCATAACAAATTTTTTAGCAAAAAAAAACTCGATAATAAAACAAACAAAATTGCAAAATATATAGTTAAAGACTTAAATTACTAATTTCTTAATTTTTTCTTCATTACGTTCTTCAATTGTTTATTCATCATTTGAATGACTATCTTTAAATGAAAGAACAACAATATTTGATTTTCCTTTTCCACTTTCAACTTTAAATTGTACATGATTATAAACCAAATTATTCACCTTTTTTTATGTAACCTATTTCTTCTCTTTGTATGAACCTAAAAATTAAATAATAACTCAAATCAATGTTTTTAAAAAATTAAATTCAAGTCTATAAATAAACAAATATTAATTCATTACCATTTCAAAGGAACTTCAATTAAGTTCACAATCATAGGAGCTACAAGTTAAGCTTAGAACACGAATTGCAAACCTCTTTAATTATGGAGTCATATCTCCATAGGAATTCCACCCTTCAGTAGGTAACATATCCTTTCTAAACTATTTTCTGCCAAAAATCATGAATTTTCTAAACTATTTTGTCATGTGCAAATTGATACATGGTATTTGGATCATTTGACTTGATTGGACAATAGTGCATCACCTTTACATAAGATATCATACATGAGAAGCATCCGAGTAAAACATATAAGAAAGTACTTATACACAAATGATTGATTTATGACCACATACATGAACAAAGCAAGACACAAAATAAACTCACGTCGTTGATGAAGGGGGAAGAAACTTTGCTGAAACAATAGACTAGGAGAGAGAGAGACTTTTTAATTTTCGTATAAGAAAAGAAAAGATTTTTTTATAAAAAATAAAATAAAATCTTTTGGGAAAATTTATAGACTCGCGAGTTTATACGAGTTTGTGCGAGTCTACCCGAGTCTGTGAAAAAAAGATTCTATGCACGAGTTCACTCGTTTATGCTTCCTAGACTCGTAAACTCGTCTACCCGCGAGTTTGACAACCATGGTTACATGAATGTTATGGATGAATTATCCTAAAAGGAGACATTTTGTTAAATGATCCGAGATAAAAATTCGAATACCTGTAACAAGTTTGAACTTGCATACTCAGAAGCTCCCATGACATATAGTCGACTGGCCTTTCCTGCGGCATAAACCCATTTTATTGATGCTATAGAAATTTTCTCTGACTTGTATCCTAAGTTAAGTTTGAGCAAAGGACTTTGACTACTATGATCAGATGCAGAAGGACCATTTCCTGTATTTAGAGAAGGTATGCTCCAAATGAAGAGCTCTCCATTGTTGTATCCAACAACTACTTTACTTCCAAAAGGACATGCCCAACACGCAGAAGTCACTTTCTTTGTTTCATTATTATGCAGTGTCTGCAACATATTTCCACCAGTTCTGAATATAGTTTCGCTTTCCTGAATATCCCATAATATTATTTGGCCATTTCTAAAGATTATGAGAACCCTGCAAGGGAACAGAATAGAACACAAGTTTGTTTTCAAAGAATAAATGATCACGAAAACAAAATAACAAAATTATTTATATAAAAACATCCAAAAAGACCGCTGTGTTTGTGGGGATCACCTCTTAGTTTCAGCTCCTGGTTGAGGCAGTACATGCATCACAATAGTATCATCACACACTTCAGAATTCCCTAAGCAATGATTATAATGGAAATCAAAATGATAAGGTACTGATCATATTACATATCAATATAAATATAATCATAATTACTTTTTTTTTTTCACATCTAAAATAGAGTCTAAAAAGTAAAAGATGTATCCCACCATTGGAAGCAGAAAAGGGTATGGTGTATTTCATCTGAGCTATATGCCATGGATCTTGGTCAAGCTTCAAAACTGATATATTACCATTAAAATGTCCAATGTACCTATCAACACGTATTCATATCTTTAGGAGGTCTTTCAAAAACTAATTTCTTGTTAACTTGTTCCAAATTAGACATATTACTTACATATAGAGGCTATGTTGAATGATTGCAAAACTAGTGATTTCTTCTTTAGCAAAATATATGTCAGACAGCACTTTCTTCTCTATGTCCCAAACCTAAATATACATTTTTTATGACAACAATTAAAAAAAAAAGCATAACAACATTGTGAATCTTAGTAATGGAATAAATCATTATGAGTGTGAGCAAGTTACACTTGCCTCAATATGATTATTGGATGTGACATTTAAAAGGATGCCTTTGTTCTGGATGAACTGCATGCATAAAATAACATAGTATTATGAGTATATAGGCACACTTTGGAATTCCTAAACAAAGGAGCATTGTCCATAACAGCAAGGGGAAAACTATCTCATTTTCAAAAGTAAACTATAAATGGAAACAAAGAACTCTTGGGATTTGATCACAGAGCTTGGGCAATTGTGCCAATGTCTCCGACTGCAACACCTTTTTAAAATTCAAGCTTATTTTCTCCAGATTGCAATTTGTATTTAAATAAATACTATGGTTCAGTTTACAAGATTATTCCTGAAGAGCACCCGGCAATAAGACACAACAATTGGTCATGAGAGGAAAAGTGACACGTAACCTGTAAGAACTTGCTCGGTAGAGGCTCACTAGAATCAAGCAGGGCTTGAGCATTATCTTTTCCATATAGTTTAATCCTGCCATCCCTTTTAAAAAGAAAGCAAAATCAGTTTCAACTTTTAAGAATATCAAAATACTTTCAATTCAATGATCCAAACATCATGACAACACAAATTTGATAAGGAAGTCATATCTATTGAGAGTAGTACATTACATCATTATAGTGGCAATTTATCAGACTTATGGGACAAGACTCAAGACATGTCAAAGAGAACATACTTTGTAGAAAGAGCCAGTATCTTCTGAATGGCGTCATAAGCAAATTTGTCACCACCTGATGGTATCCCTTGATGAAACGTTACTTGTGGATCTACATCGCTAGCTTTTAACCCTTCTAGTGAATTTCCACCGGGCTGCATAAAAATTGACTCATTCAATTTTATTTTGGATCATTAAAGATAAGAACATATAACAAAAACTTGAATTATTCTATTTATTCGTGAAAGTCATAGGTTCAAATCCTAAAAACAACCCTACTCCTTATTGAGGCAAGACCATATACATGTAAGTCCATTTGGCGAGAGTCTTGTGCACCGAGTCAAATTAAATATTATGCGACATTCAAATCCTAATTAAGAATAAAGAGCAATCTACTTATACATGTGTACAATACCATGAAAACTTCTTAGCTTTCAATATTTTTCAACTGTGACATTTTATTTAGTTGTTGAAATTTATGACATCATGCAAACAAGATTACAATCTAAATCCCTTACCACTTGTCCAATTCTAGTGGCTCACTTTTGTCTTCACTCTCCACCATTAAAAAACAGAATATAACATTCACTCTCAATACAATTTCAAAAATAAAAATAAAAGCATATACTTTTTTAACAGAAAACAACAGTTGCAGGTCCACCGAACCTTGTGATGTGTGTGGAGTACTGATTCTAGTGATAGTGCCGTGGTGGGTTAACTAACATTAACTTCTAAAATGGACCCACCAAACCATGACCAACATTTACATCTTCTGAATCACTAACCTTTGATGACCCCACACACCATACAATAAGGAACACGCACAGACTTAGTCATTAAAATGTCACCGACCCCATTAGAACGGTTATATCATATTCAAACAAAATTACAGTTTGTTTGTTCTTCATTATCTTATTCATTTTTCCAAAGAAACTAAAACATTCAACAGAAAAATACTTAGCAAAAATTTAATCTAAATCTAAGATAATGTACATAACTAAATAAATATACATGGACCTTAGTATATACTATTAATAGGATACACGTAACACCAAGTGTTGTCGTGGCATATTTACTAAAATTACGATATCTTTTTATGCTTAATAATCTAACTTGCGCAAAACCCGGAGGTGAATGAATGATTATAATCTTTGAATTATATAAATCAACCGACCAAATTTCGTTCAATTTTTTTCAATTGCGCATTGAAAAAAACAACAGATAAGAAATAATGAAAATTGAAAATCCTCAATTAAAAAAAAGAAAAAGAAATCCGTTTTTAAAGCACATGTTTGAGTGATAGAACTTGAATGAGAAGTAAAGTAACATAGCAATAGTGTATATTAAAGTAATGAAACAAGAAATAAGCAGCGAGATCCATGAAATTTAGCGTTTTCAATTCCAACGCTAAGATCGAAGTTGAAGTTGAGTTTTTAAATATTGAATTTAATTTTGCGGAAACCAAAACCGATTATAATCTTAAGTTGAGACAGAAAAATGTAGAAATGGAAATGGATGAAATCCAGGCAAAGAAAATTGAGAGTGATGAATGAAGAATTGAGATATAAATAAACGGTGAAAGCAAGCAAATCGAAGCAATGAATGAACAGAAAAAGAAGATGATGATGAAATCAAAAGCAAATGGATGAGAGTTATACCTTCTTAATTGAAGCTTTCTCGACGAGTTTCTTGACAAACATTGGTTAGAGAATTGAGAAGTAGAAGAATCAGAGATGAAATGGAATTGATTTGGTTTACGCTAAGTGATTATATGATAGAAAATTAGATATAACTGAAAAGAGTTTTTTAGTACAAGAAGAAGAAGGAGCAGTTCAATTCAGTTTTTTTTTAATATTTTTTTTTATTGTGATGGTTTTTGGAGTGTGAGAAGAGACAATACTAACTCACTGGTTTGTAAGGTTTGTGATGAATGAATGCTTTATTTTTATGATTGAAATAGTTATAAGGTAAGAGAAAAGGTGGTAAATAAGTATAAATGGTAATAATAGAGAATGGGTTTGTTTAAGTATAGTATAATATTTGCTAATTACTGACTGATTTTGTAGTATCAGATCTCGTAGCAATATACATGGTAAAGATTATTAGGAAAATAGTACATGGTATGGTTTTAAGTTGAATGAGTAGAAAAAATAATGTTATTTTAACACTATTCTAGATGTTCTTTAATGCATATGATATAGATAGATATACATGTAATTTTATTTTTTAATTTATTTTTTCTTTTCCAATATTACATCTGTAGCCTTAAATAATATTAGAAAAAATAAGATGTGTAAAATAATTTTAAATTGTTAATTAATTATTATTATATATTTCATCACATCAAATTATAAATTTTAAATTAATAAAATGTTATGATAGATTAATAAGTTTTTATTTAATAATAATATAAAATAATTTTATACTGTTCCTACGTATTAATTAAATTTAATATTAAAATAATGTATTAATTTTTAAGTGTTTAAATAATGTTATAGTCAATATATAATAAATATACAAAATTTAAGTATGTGTTCTCAATCCCTCCAAAAAATTATATACGTTCTTATTTAAATAGAACACGTGTCTACCATCGGAAATATAATCAAGTAGCAAGTCAAAATTGTTATTTTTCTAATAGGTTTTTTTCTAAGATATTTTGATAAAACAGGTAAATTATTTATATGAAATTTTGATAAAAGTAGGTAAATTATCCATTATGATGAGAGACAAGCGTAATTGAAAAAAAATAAAACTTTATTATTAAATCAGAAAAATGATATATTAAATAGTAATGTGTGTGATTAAAATCTTTAATTATATATATATATATATATATATATATATATATATATATATATATATATATATATATATATATATATATATATATATATATATATATATATATATATATATATATATATATATATATATATATATATATATATATATATATATATATATATATATATATATATATATATATATATATATATATATATATATATATATATATATATATATATATATATATATATATATATATATATATATATATATATATATATATATATATATATATATATATATATATATATATATATATATATATATATATATATATATATATATATATATATATATATATATATATATATATATATATATATATATATATATATATATATATATATATATATATATATATATATATATATATATATATATATATATATATATATATATATATATATATATATATATATATATATATATATATATATATATATATATATATATATATATATATATATATATATATATATATATATATATATATATATAGATTTGGTCTTGTGCTCATACAAGACACAATTAAGTGGTTGGTTTATATATTACGTACTACATACTCCTCTCATTATTATAAATAAGTTTAACTTTTTCACATTCAATAATTGTTATATCCATTTTAATTATTCAATGAACTAAAAAATAATGACATTAGAACCTAATGGAATACCAAAGTCAAATTCCTATTTATTTGTCTAAACTCTAAGGTCCAATAAACTAAATTTTAGTGAATTAGATTTAAGAATAGTTCAATCTGTTTCTATTTAATTTTATTGTTTTGATGCTAATGCTAAAACACAACACATCTTTATGAAATAATTAGGATTATGTTGGTTATTGAGATAATTTAGGATACAAATTAGCATTATGTTTAAGTTGAAACTAATTTTCAAATGTTATTCTCACAAAATTGTTTTTTTATAAAGAATAATGGGTTTAAAATTTCTTTGTTAATATGAATTTTATTTTTATATTTTTTATAAAGAAAGTAAGTATCGAGCATATAAGATGCTGCTTGTAAGTCTTTAGGAATATTCTAATTTTTACTAAGGATAATTGTTCTGGGCAGATAATAAGATTCAATAGTTATAGTTTAGAGATCACATTTATCCACCGCATCACTCGCTAAGTAGATTTGCGTTATGTAAATATGCTATCCGATGTTTTTTCGGATATGTTTCTTTCTCTGATGTTTTTTCAGATTGAGTCTTTGTTCTGATGTTTTTCCAGATATTTACCTTGATTCTGATGTTTTTCTAGAATCTATCCGATGTTTTTCCGGATATGTTTCTCTCTCTGATGTTTTTCCAGATTAAGTCTTTGTTCTGATGTTTTTCTAGAACTTATCTGATGGTTTTCCAGATATTTACCTTGATTATGATGTTTTTCCAGAATCTATCCGATGTTTTTCCAGACATGTTTCTCTCTCTGATGTTTTTCCAGATTGAGTCTTTGTTCTGATGTTTTTCCAGAACTTATCTGATGGTTTTCCAGATATTTACCTTGATTCTGATGTTTTTCCAGAATCTATCCGATGTTTTTCCGGATATGTTTCTCTCTCTAATGTTTTTCCAGTTTGAGTTTTTGTTCTGATGTTTTTCCAGATACTCCCTTTAAATTATGATGTTTTTCCATAATCTTTCCGATGTTTTTTCGGATATATATATCTTTTGTTCTGATGTTCTTCCAGAACTCCTTTGTTGCTTACTTGATGTTCTCCCAGATATGTCTTCAAATACCCTTCTAAAATGTTTCAGATGAACTCTCAAAATATATGTCTTCAATGTGCTTCTTTGGATATGTTCCGGAGTTTATTCGATGTTTTTCCGAGTATCTCTGGTATATTTCAGAGTTCATTCGATATTCTTCTGTGATGTTTGTTTATGTGTCCCTGTTATATTTCTCAGATTTCTCCTCACCTCATTCATTGATATTTTGAATGTTGTGACTCTTTTCCATTCAGTTCCGTTCATGGATGATGTCTGTTGTTTCCCCAGTGTGTCGGGTCCCCTGTGAGTAATTACTTGTCGTATTGCCGTTCTTTTATTTTTACTCGTGTGTCTGCATTTGTCTTGCATCATAAAGCATCATTTAGTTGTCATTGCATTTCAACATTTGTCCTTTTGCATACCATAGGATCTAGGGGACAAATTTTTTGGTTTGCTATATTTAAATACCTTTCACTACGATTCTATGAGGATTATCATCTCTCATTACCATCAGGTGAAGATATTTAAATAGGGGCATCTGTTGCACCCCAAATTTTGACCCCTTAGATATTCATCATCATTCTAGGATCATTTTCATTTGATTATTTAACCTTAACCTACTTCAAGTTTTTCTTTGTTGAGTTACAGGTGAACCAGGGTTCCGTATAGTCGGAAATCGAGGTTTCGACAGTTTAATCAGTCAATGCCTTGGATTGATTATCCATGAAGAAAGTATCTACACCATCAATAATACTCCATTGGGTCAAGCATGAGTCCAATTTGAGGTTGTCACACAAAGATTAGGAACAATGCAGTTCAGGATCCCCGATTAGGGTTTTTGATCAGGAAGAGTTAACTGTAATTTGACTTTTGATTTAAAAGGTGTTCCAATGATATAGTTATGGTCCATGAAGCTCATATGAAAGATTGCATTGAAAAACTCAAAGATTTTCATGATGGAAGGTTAAAATTGACAATTTGCTTCACTTTTACCCATACCTTGATCCAAGGCTTTTGGCTATAAATAGAACTCACTTCCTACATCACAAACACACAAGTTTCATGCTAGAAACCTGTTAGAACTCCATTCCTTACAAAATCACAAGTTCTTGCAAAATTTCATTAAGTTTCCAAAATCCCTTAAAATCTATTTTTGCAAAACACCTTTCAAAACCATTTCCAAACTTCTTCCAACTCAAGAAACACTTCAAACACATCAAATATGATGTATTGAAGCTATCTGATCTGACCTGATCATAAGGGGATCGCTGGCTGGCCATACTCTGTTGGACTGCTTCCTGTTCACCGATGATGAGGAGGAGGAAGGGGTGTACCTGCAAGGCACTCCGATGCCAAAGTAAGTATATGTGCAAAGTGGTCACAAGCACAGAAAAGGGGTAAGAAGCGAATTACTTGACCCTCTTGTGGAAGAGGGTATTTATAGAGAGACCCTAGCGCTGGGCCAACGGTCACTTGTGTTGGGTTGGATTGCCAGGCCCAACCCAGGTGATTGCTAGGGCTTACGTGGCATAGTGAAGACCAAAACGTGGTCTTCACCCTAGTTCAACTGTCCCGTGATCTCCGAAAAGTGGGTTTGTCCTGCTCTTTCGGAGGTGGGCGGTTGGTTGATGACGTGTCCCCGCGGAGGGGAGCACGTGGAGAATGTGTGAAGGACACGTTGTTCTGCCCGACAAGGAGAAGGTCCTGCCCGCCGAGGGGGAAGGATCTTCCCGCGGAGAGATAAGGTCCTACTCGCGGAGGGGGAGAAGGTCCTGCCCGCGGAGGGGGAGAAGGTCCTGCCCACGGAGGGTAAGGTCCTTCCCATGGAGGGGGAGAAGGTCCTACCCGCGGAGGGTAAGGTCCGGCCCGTGGAGGGGGAGAAGGTCCTGCACATGGAGGGTAAGGTCCTGCCCGCAGAGGGTAAGGTCCTGCCCGCAGAGGGAGAGAAGGTCCGACCCACGGAGGGTAAGGTCCTGCCCACGGCGGGGGAGAAGGTCCTGCCCGCAGAGGGTAAGGTCCTGCCCGCGGAGGGAAGGTTCTGCCCGACGGGGGCAGTGTCTGGCCGACGGAGGGAAGGTTCTGCAGGGAAGGTTCTGCCCGACGGGGGCAGTGTCTGGTCGACGGGCAGTCTTGTACTC